TGGATGGCGTAGATGGAACGACATCGTCGTTCCATCGACGCGTCTATTTACTGTCGGCGACAGAGCGTTCCCGGTCGCCGCCGCCCGAACCTGGTAGTCTGCCGGCTTCCGTGACATTGGCTCCTTCGTTGCAGGTGTTCCGCGAACGCCTCAAGACGATACTATGGCGTAGAGCCTATGAATCAAGTGCTTTGTAATTTTTATCCGCTCTCATCCTATTTCGTGCATATTTATTTTTCGCTACCTAGTAAACTTACGTAAAACGTGCCCTCGAAGTTCAATTTAAATAGACGCAACGATAACTGCTTCGTAGAATAATAATAATAATTACTGTACATAACAGACCAACATTTATGCTTTACGCTAAAATGCATGCATTATATTTTGGGGTTGAATATTCAATCATAATTTACGAAAGCTCAAGATTCACTCAAGGAATTTGCACTGTTACTGTTTTAACTTGAATTAAACTCAAATATTAATATGTAAGTAATAATCGATACCAATTGCTAATTAGTAGTTGAAGTATAAAAAATATTCAAAAGGAAAGTAACGAGCACAAATAAACAAACTGTCTAGTGCCGCAAATCATGAATGAATAATGTAAATAGTTTGTAATTTAAAAACATATAAAACGTAGTATAATCTCATATCTTCATCAAAAACGTTTCGGAGACCAGCTCCAGTTCAACAGTTTCGTTGAACTGATCTACGAAGCGTTTTCGTTGAATGAGTTTAGTGGAGTATTCTCTTCCTTTCAAAATATTTGATTAATTTGCGATTTAAAAAACGAATACGTCCAAATATCCTCATTTCATTGAAGCATTATTTTTAATTCAGTTTCACAAGCTGCCCTTTCAAGCCATATTTGAACAGTTAAATAATAAAACTTCGATCCGGCAATGCAAACTCTCGGTAGGAACGAGATCTTCTTCACTGCGCACTTGAGGCTTCGTTGTTCATTCTGCCCAGGCTGCGCGACGAAGCAAACGACCGTCTCTAATCAGCCCCAAACACGTGGAAACCAAATATGGCAATTTTTATCGTTAAATTTCAGTAATTTAATTCACGTGCTGCAAATAATTTTAATGTTTCTCCTAGAGCAGGATAAATCCCTCAATAAATTGTGTTCAGCAATTCCCTGTTCATAAGAGGTAACACCAGTGAACTGTGTGTAAATCAGTGCTATGAACTATTATTTTCAAACACGCTTGTAGCGCGGGCTAAGCCTGGCTTTTGCACTGGCAGACAAAGCCCCTTTAACACATTAAACTTTATAATAGGATTAATTGATAGAAAAAATGATGGAAGGAACATAAATTTAACGGCAAATTCAATGATGCGTAAAATATAGTAATTTTTGTATCATTCGATATAATTCATGTCTATATAAATGCTTCAACAAAAATCAGGCAAATTTATAATAGAACAATAGGTCAATTTCTGGAAATTACATACAACTGACTACAATAGTCTACAGATAAAGGAAGTTCACAATAAATAAACAAACTAATAAATAAATAGGCCAAGTTTGAACCACCGCATCAATCAAACATTCTCTACAAATCAAATCTGCATCCAAGGTCACCTCGCCCCGATGAGCGCTCACAGCGACAAGCTCAATGAAGCTTGTTTTAACTTCCACATTATTCATCAGTGGTTTTGAACCCTAAACTCATTTCACCCCTATCAACTGCTTTATAAGTAGCGCAAGCCATGAAGATCAGTCACGTCAAAAAAAATTAAATAAATCTTCATTGCTGGTGCTTGAATTCATGTTCTACATGTACGTCTTTACAAGCGGTCACTTGGGCAGAAATCGGAAATAAAAAATGGATGAACTAAAATAGCATAATTATCTCGCCGGGGTAATCCATTCTGACCGTTTCCGCATCACGGTAAACGCATTGAAACATTGTTTTATGGAAACCACTGCGTTCTAGTTGAGGTTCGTGCATACATTCAGATCTGTGCAGCTCACAAGCTATTAGTTTATCAAGGAAACCGAGGTCACTAGCGTCACGCTGTCACCCAATAGATAAGGTCTATTTTTTTCCTCTCGGGGTGTCCACGGTGAGTGGACTTCTGGCTTCCCAGAAGCGTGACCGTTAGCGCTGAGCTAACGATGTATCTTGTAAACGAAACTGAATACAAATCAATTCGAACAAATAGCTGCAACTTAACAAATAGTTTTTCAGATTGGTTTATACACATATCGCCTGCTTTAGTAGGCACGAAATTACGTGCAGTAATGACAAGTGCGAGTTAGGAATGTCATTCACGTATTTCTCTTTCATGGGCAATTATCACTTTTGAGGCAGTGCTCTAGCTATGCCAAGTATTTCAATATTTCAGTAAAGCTTAACATACGAGCACTAACAATATGACCCCTGTGGTAAGCAATTTTCAAGGGTTTTGAACATATTTTTAAGTTCATAGAAGCAATGAATGCATATCAGATAAAAAATTGCAATAATAAATGAAAAACTAACATTGAAAAAAAAATGGAGTTGTTATCGTTTCTAACGTCTCTGAATGAAGTGATTCAGAAATGTCCGTTGTTTCCACGATCACAAATAAATGAGATGACGACAAGACAATGATAAAAAATTATTACCTGTACCATTAATCATTAGAATAACGTTCACCATATTTATAACGCACAGATCACCGTACGAAGGACCGTCTGATGTAAATAATAGGCTAATCCAACTTAAATAGTAGTTTGAGCGGAGAGGAGTGTATCAATTAATGATTATTTCCTACTAATAATAAACATTCTTCAATGCGATGGTTAAAGCCGTCTAATTAGGTCTCAGTAAATCCAATCACAAGAAAGCGTGCATTACACAAGCTTCACCAGGCAAACATTTATTCATCAACAACAAGGTAAATCGTATTCTTTCATCACGAATTTAAATGAAAGAAAAATTATTCGTCTGTGAGAAGAAGTACTCTCTTCTGAGAAGAAGAGATTATTCTTAAGGGGAGCGTCTGGGTCCCAGAAAAACTTTTCTTATTTACGGACGGATCACTTTGAAACTTGGTACACAAATGTAAAACATGAATCTAAGACTTTTTTGTTCGTGCAAATTTTTCGATTAATGAAAGAAAACGTGAAATTCTTAGAAAACTGCCCAAAAGGGAGTACCGTAGAAAACCTCCTAGGATTTTCAAGCTACAACATCGAGACGCATAGGTATCATTCGATGCGTAAAGACCATATCTATCGGTTCGTCGTGGCTTTTTTTGAAATTCGAATTTTGGTGGAAGGGGAGGGCTTTTTTGTGAAATTTTCGATTTCACCCTTTTTTCAAAATATTTTCAATACTATCATGAAATTGATAAAAAAATCTAACAGCAATCTCTAGATATTTTATTTGCGACTCAAATGGTACGGTACATCTCTCATCGCTGTAGCTCAAAAACTCTAGGAGGAGATGAGATAGGTTTGCAGTGACAATAAGTGAGAATGTTCATTAGAGCGCCACTAGGTCTGGCCAAAAATTTTGGATTATGGCTTTTCCAGTTTTTAGTCTCATCTTGAAGCTGACACTGACCTATCCAACGGTACCAAAACCATCTCTGTACGTTGATTTATGCGTTCACGATAGATCGCGAATGGTTTAGGGGTGGTGGAGTTCTTCAACATTTAAGATAGAGAATAATTGCCGCAGTGCACTTCAAATAGCTAGTTTTCACACAGTCTGCTCCAGTAACCCTGCTGCAGTCGTGCGGGATGGTTCTCGCGCGGTTATAGTTTTGAAAATATTTTGAAAAAAGGGGGTGGGAAATAGGGGGAAATCGAAAATTTTTCCATAAATTCGTGAAAAATGCTCCTCCACCCACCAAAATTCGAATTTCAAAAAAAAGCTACACCGAATCGATAGATATGGTCCTTACGCATCGAATGATATGCGTCTCGATGTTGTAGCTTGAAAATCCTAGAAGATAGATTTCTACAGTACGGTACCTCGTTTTTTGGCCGTTTTCTAAGAATTTCACGTTTTCTTTCATTTCTTTCGAAAAATTCACATAAAGAAAAAAGTCCTGGATTTCTCTTTTACATACGAGTACCAAGTTTCAAAGTGATCAGTCGGTAAATAGCAGAGATAAAATTTTGGCCAGACGCTCCCCTAAGATGTTAAGGAACTCTAGCACCCCTAACCCTTTCGCGATCTGTCGTGAACGCATAAATCAACGTAGAGATGGTTTTGGTACCGTTGGATAGGTCAAAATATCAGCTTTAACATGAGACTAAAAATCGGAAAAGCCAGAATTGTCGATTTCGGACTCAGACGCTCCCCTTAATGGGTTAACGCGCGGACGCTGGCAAGAAAGGAGCTGAGTACACATACCAACGAGGATAAACAAGTAGAAACAAGTAAACAAGGTTCGTAAAACAGAAACTGAGAGACCAACAGAGACAATAGAACTCAGTCGGTGGTATAATTGTGAGTCCAAGTCAAAAACTACAGCGGTTGCTCGCTCTGCAGCGATGCCAAATGCCACATGACTTCTGTGGTATGAAGACAAATCCATAAACGTATTCTAATACCTAGTTATGATATATTCATACCAAAGTAGCTAATTAACAATGGCTATATCTGAAAATAATTTTTGTATCAAAGTAAACAGTAACATAATACATACATATATAATAATTGTATATATACATCGGAATAAAAACCATAAACAAAGCAAACGATAACGAGAAAAAGAACCTTTCAACACCCATGGAAGTCAAGAAGCAATGTCAGACATAAGCAGCAGATGCGAGACATAGAACACAAAAGGTTAGGCAGGCCAACTCGATGAAGAAACTGAATTATAACTTGAAAAAAATGTGAAAAAAATAAACATAAAAATTTATAAACGATATGTGATATCTTAATTTCAATGCGTTAACATTTTGAACATTCCTTTTATGTTTCTTTTCTGATTTATTAATAATATTTCATAGATTTCCAACATAATTAATAGATTGAGCAAATGTACCCAACAACACATGTGACATGTTACATGCACGCAAACATTTTGAATGCGCAGATAAGGAAATGCATGTCATTGAATCAATTGAGTGCTACTCCATAGTCGCCAGAATAATAAAACAAGGCATACCTGTAAAATATATCAATTAAAATGGAATTTATTTATATGGAACACTATTACAAAAAGAGCTCTGCTTTAAAAATTACGAAACTTTTAAGTGAACCAGGTCAGGCATTTCGCAGATCTCTGAATTTATTTGATATTGTTCATTAAAAACCCAGACATTTGTTGAGATATTAGTTGGCTGATTTAATCGTTGGTTGTTGATCTAATTGGCACGACCTTTGTCGTACCAAATATCAAATTAACACAAGTTTCTCCAAATAAATTCAACGAAGGTTATGATTCCAATGCACAAGAGTCACAGGAAATAAAACCAGTTAATAGGCCAAACAATGAAGTTCAGGCACCCGAAATAGAAAAAAAAACTCTGGAAATTAATCAAAGATTATGAGTCCCAGTTATTATTACACAAGTAAATATGGAATTAGAATCAATGCGTACAAACTTAAAGTAGTATGGCAGTGACAATTTCTCCAGCCTGAAGAGAAGGTTGGACGGGTGAGCGAGGAGGCAGCACAAGGAGAACTCTTGCGTTGGCCATGGACAAGAGGCGGGAGGACAACTGAGAGCCCGTGGACCTCGCGAGCGGCAGGTCGCAGGACGGCGAGAACGACAGCACCGCTCTGTGGTACTCGGGACGATGGTCCAAGCTGATGCTGTGCTCTAGCTGCATGCGCAAAACAAACTATGTAACTTACCTCGTAATCATTTCAGACATATATAAAAAATAATATAGATATTTCAATTAGGAAGTTCAATAATAACGAGCAGCTGTTGACACTTCAACATTTAAATTGAATATTTGATTTCATTTGGATAGGTGTTGGTCTATCTTTGAGAGAATTCCTTCTAAGTCGAGATCATCAGGCACGATAAATCTAATTTTATTCAGTATTAAGTATATACCTGTGGCAAAAACTAATCTTTGAGAGTTAACTAACAGTAAATCTTGCTCGTGGTGTTGGCAATGATCATGGAAGGTGAATTAATGAATTCAATATTTTCAAAAGTAGTGAGCCGATGAAGCTATAGATAACCATCGTAGATAAAGTAATAACATCCGTTTTATACGACCCATTTTTACAGTATATCATCAGTACAAATTTTGTTGATCACCTTGACTTTTAATTGTGTGTACATAAAGTCAGCTCTGCCAGAGATCGCCCGACACAAGGGAATGAGGTAGAGGTTTGCGGTGACGGTGGCAGACACAGGGTTGCCGGGGAGCCCCAGCACCAGCCGTCTCCTGCCCTTGTATGACATACTCGCGAAAGTCGTCGGCTTGCCGGGCTTCATTAACACCTGCGCATTATTAGTTAAGAGGAATAAATGAGTATGAATGCATAGAAAATGCACAGATAAATGTCTTAAAACGCTAATTTTTTAGTAGATCATCCGTTATATATTAAAAACAATTTAGAGAAAACTAATCATTACAAAAAGTGGAGAAGTTATGAGAATGCATCACGTCGCTAAAGTCTCTAACTACGTAGTGTAGCAGAAACGTACATACATGAAGGGATTTAGCAAAAACGCATGATCATCGCATGAACTTTAGACTTAGAGTATCTAGGTTACAGCAGCATCCTTGTGATCAATGCTAAGATCCCACAAGCACAAGCCCTGTGTTTGTCTCTGTTTAAGAAAATGTCAAGTAGTTATATAATTTCAAGATACTCTGCAACAAATTATGACGCAGATGGATGGTACAATTATAATTAATGTATGCCAGCAATGGCCAACATCTTATGAAGTAGCTTCATGATACAAGTTTACCTGAGCGAAATGTATGGTGGCATCAAAGTCGGCCTGCAGGACGGGCCTGAGGATGTCCTTGTCGCCCATGCTCACCCCGCCACTCGTCACCAGAATGTCCACGTCTGAAAACAGTGATAAAATGTCCAATTGTGAAAGGTGATAAAATGTCCAATTGTGAACGGTGATAAAATGTCCAATTGTGAACGGTGATAAAATGTCCAATTGTGAAAAGTGACCAGGCTTTTGCCTGAAATTTCTGGGCCTAAACTTTAGACTTTAGTAGAAAAGATAGCCATAGAAATATACCTGTGTAATCTGACAGCTTAATTAACGAAAGTCAATAATGCTTTGGAAGTGCCTTCCATTGATTAAAGAGCAGTATAACACCATCTAATCAAGTTAATACATGGGCCGACAGTCTGACACCTTTTCCAATAAATATTACAATATACCGGTACTTGTAAATCTTGAGAATAGCAACAAGTACGGATAGTCTCACGTGCCAAAATTCTATTCAATTCGTACTAAATCAAAGAATTTATCAAACACAGCTTTGAAAGTCCAGCTAATTGAGTTGAAATGTAAGTGGTAACGCTCGGATGTGAACCTCATTAATATACTGTATATTAATATGGTGGCGAACTAGGTGCGGTTTTTTACAACTATCTTTTGATGCGGGTGCTGTTCAATTGAATAAGTCAAAGAACCAACTTGATAGCAATCATTAGTATTCAAATCTTATTCAGTAGGATTCCAGAACAAAACCCGCCGCCACTGCAGACCTTGATCCAGCATGGAAGAGATGCTGTTCTTGAGGTCATCAGGGGTATCCTTAGCAGAGTGGCAGGTGATGCAGTTGTAGTGATGCAGACGTAGCAGTGATACCAGAGTCGGGGAATTGCTGTCGAAAATGCAACCACGTGCCAGGGGACGACCATCGGCAGCCTGCACTTCGTTTCCTGAGAACACAGGAATTTATCACGCGACTGATGAACTGAAAGTTACTAAATATGACCTACAGTATAATTTGTTTGATCATGGAAACGGCTTCGCTCACGAATAAGAGAAAAAGAAACGTAAAGAAAAGTTACGCCAACCACCGCAACTGCAGTGAATGAACATCTAGTTTAGCATGCAATTCGTAACACATGAAGCCCAATGCATTTTTAAGTTATAAGTTGCAATTAGCTGAACCAAAATATGTTTTTGTTGACTCCTGGGGAGGCAAAATTATTGCATTTTTGCAAACATTTATGAATTATTACTACGTATCTGACAGAAACTGGTAATAATAACACAACACAGACGAATAGTTGCTAGTCCCTGCTTATGTTGCAAAAAGCTCTGTGCAATTAAATCATTCAGGGAGGGAGCCATCATTGGTTTGTGCTCTTCATTTATTTATTTCAAGTTCAACATCATTGCAGAACCTAATCTGGGACATCATTTTGGTGAGACTTAGAAGGACTGCAGGCAAGATTGCGATCAGATAATAAAGCATCAATTAATTTTACCTGTGGAGAGCACTCCGACCAAAGGCTTAGGGAAGACCATGACATTGGCAAGTCCAACACTGGCGGCGAGTCCTATTTCAGCAGGACCCAAGTACGTGCCCTTAGGCAGCACGAGTTCACCAAGTGCGATGTCGCACCCCAGCGGCCTGATATCCTGACCTTCCTTCGGTGCCTTCAATATCTTGACCTCCAGTTCAACACCTCCATCCTCAGATGACTTCAGTAGCTCTGTGTCTTCTACCTGCAGTATAACAAGCATTAATATTTTAATGATTACATTTTCCTATCAAATAGCAGTTTGCGTCTTTTGAATCACTTTTAGTGGTGCTAATGTCCATGCTATGGTAAATTCAAAGCTTCAACAAATATTATTGCTCCTATAGCAGCATCCAACTACTGAAACGACTCGCCTGCACCACAGCATCTGCACCACGCGGCACCGGCGCTCCAGTGTTTATTCTGATGCAGTCCCCGCGCGCGAGGACTGCATCGGTGCCCAGTTCAGCGTGGTCGCCGGCCGCGACCGCACTGACGACTCTCCTGACTCCTGCACCGTCAGCAGCGATCACGGCATAGCCGTCTTTGACCGATGCCGGAAAAGGAGGCAGTGGGTACTTGGACACCACATCTTCGGATAATACAAATCCGTGAGCTTGATTGAGAGGAAGATTAACAGGATTCTTGGTAGATGCCATTTTGAATATGATCTCTTGAGCTTGGTCCACAGTTATCATTTTATATGGAGATTTCCTGGGTCGACTGCAAATATCTTCAACTTGTGCTTTAGATGCACTACAGTCGTGGTGGTCATGAGCTCTGTGATGGTGTTTAAGAGGTTGTTGTTCACACGAACCAAAATCAGCTGCATCATTCTCGAGTTTAACAACAGGAGTTGATTGGAGAGCTTGGTGAGTGGTATTGAGTTTAGAGGTTCTGTTGCTGATAAGGTCAAGAGCATGAGGCAGGACCGATGCCACAAATCTGAGGCACTCTTCCGATCCTTTCTGGCTTCCTGGGAGGGTCACAATGAGGCTCGTATCGCGGATACCGCACACAGGGCGAGACAGCGCAGCAAACTGAGTTGACTTTAGCGACGAGGATGTCATCAAAAAAGACAAACCAGTAACTTCTTTTTGGATTACCTGTGGAACAAAACATAAAATGAAAGAGAAAAATTCATTTATAAAATGCCTGTTTGTTGAGGGCAGCTTTTCCACCACAAATTTCATTTCTTTCCTGTAGCAGCATTTATAAACATGCAAGATGCAGCTGAACTTACGGCTCGCACAGCCTCTGGCGTGACATCTCTGGGTGCAACACCAGTACCCCCCGTGGTCAGGATCAGATTAAGACGAAGGTGATCACACCAGTGCTCAAGTGCCTCAATGATGTTGCGCTGGTCATCTGCTACGCAACCTGACGCTGCCAGCTGAACAGAAGAAGCTTGCCCATTATATTAGTTGGTAGAACAAAGTACTATGCAGTAGCTAAGTACAATAAAATATTGCATGCTAATATTTTATGATCAAGACAGTCAAAATAAATTGGGAGAGAAATTTTCGTGTTAGCATAGTTGGAAGGTTTATCAAATTTTGATCACATGAACTTCAGACAAATCACATCCCATATATAATTTGTATTCATTCAAAATACAAAAGGAGTGGCTAGCTGCACAGCTTTAAACTGGATTCAATGCAGCCATGCAACTTCTTTTCTGCCATATTTACACATACCTATATACTTTGCAGCAAAAATAATACTGAAGCATCCACAAACAAATGGAATAGGTATAATATTCTTTTACTAATTTTTTAAATGTTGTCATTAGCAAGACTGTATAAAAAGATCTGAACATAATTCTGATAAAAAAATTGGATAACACTCAAGAACAATCAATTCAGCAGTAATTAAGAGTAGCTCAAAATACCTGGCAAAATCTTCAATACCTGACTACTTTAATGAACAACAAAACATAGCAAGAGCAGCATTTAATCTTAATCCCCTGCCATTATGAGTATTAAAAATGTGTTGCAGATCATAGGATTTTCTATTATAAATACAATTCTTAAAATGGATCTTTGAAAGAGAAAAAACATGCAAGGCTAATAACAAGTAAATAAATATTCCACAAATTTTTCAATAGAATGATTTTTTGTTTCCTATTGGAGAAGTGTAAGAAACCCATTAAGAAGACAGAATTTTTTTTGGCCTAATTAAGAGTACAATTTTCTCATTGCCTAAATTATTGGCATCACCCATCATCTGAATTTCAAGATCAGGAGAATAAGGGGCCATACCTTGGCATTAGGAATGATGCCTTCCTCAATGAGCTGAGCCAGGTTCTGTCCACTGAAATCTGTTGCCTCCCCAGAAGAACAACGATCACTTATTGTCAGAATACCAACTGTTATTCTATCATCTACAAACATACTGCTGCTGTCAACTGACATTTCAAAAATTTCAACAGTGCGTATTGGCTATTCTGAAAGAAATCAAGTACATAGGTACCTATTCATTTAGTCATATATAAAGGAAAACTTTAATTTTCAGAATAGATTGTACGTTTGATTAATCTCAAACGTGACAAACAGATTGCACACAACATTGATTACAGAAAATTATCCAAGTACATTAAAGTGGTGCCAAAAGCACAAGTGCACAACTTTCATTAGGTCTAGTGAATTAGATCACTATAACAGAGAAAGATTGTAAAAACATACCTGAAACAGAAATGAATATTTTAGTAACAACCAATTGTAATGTGGTGAGATTACAATTAGCTCATATATGTGTGCATACAGATGTAATAATTTTTATAAATTGCACATTTCAAGCAAGCATTTTATTGGTATTGTAATTATTTTTAAATGGTGCAAGAGTTTCCAGTACAATATTTTGAATTCTGTGAATAAAGGCTCATTAACACTGTGGATAACTTAGTATGTAGACTGTATAGTCTATAGACTAAGTATAGACTGTAGAAATACATTTAACCCTTTCACGGGTAAGTTACCATATATGATCACTTGAAATTGCATCACAAAAAGCCTCACCACGGCTTCCTGTTTGTTTTTGAGGCGTGCTTATAATGCCTCAGTCAATCACTAATTATCTGACCATCGTTCTATCTATAGCATCACCAGCTGCAAAGTCCACAAATTGAAATATGAGCATTTAAATGAAGGTTTTGACTCGGACAATGGAATTGACACTCTTTCCGCATTTTCTTCAAAATTTGGAAGTATCAATATATATATTTATTTATTTTGGCAACTTGATTAAATTTAATTAAATTAAATTTTTATGTTTCTAATTTTTCATTTGCATAAACTGAATTTTAATTATAAAGAAAAATTTTGTGTACTGATCGCATTTATTGAATTATTCAATTGCAATTTAAACCTTCAATAGGCACAAATTGCAAAAATTCATATAAATAAATATATTGTATGATACTTCTTACTTTCTTGAAATGGTTTCTGAAATTTTAATTTCTGGATATTTCAATGCTTGCCCGCTAAAGGGTTAAATAAGAATTATGTTGTACAACATAGCAAGTTGACACATTTCAACTGCAGTTACTCCATACTAGGTTGTTGAATGAAAAAATGTACTTGGATAGAGACAAATTTTTAAGTTTTTATTTGTTAGCTTCTTACCATGAAATATTTCATTAACGAGTTTTGGCACATTTTAAAGGTCTTTGCAAGGGCTATGGTATGCCATCTCCAATTCCATATATATATATATATATACCTACTATTTGTAAGTTGCCAGAAGCAAAAAAAATATAACTCAGTACTTGCTGCTGTGAGTAACAGAGCACATTTTCTTGTTGACAAAAACGTGAAGTCACGGACGGACAGTCAGATGGACACAACAAGCACAATAGCGCCTTTTTCCATAAATGAGAATATGCCCTAAAAAGACTCCTAAATAACCTTTGGGAACGGCATAATCTGGGACACTTGAAATAAAGCTTGATTTTAAAACGTTTGAAATTTGCTGAGTGTAATCATATACAGCAATCCCTTGATTAGCATGGTTTTGAATACCGCGGTTTTGATTAACGCAGAAAAAAAATTTGCGACCTACCCTTAATCTACGCGGTGCCAGTTTTGATTAGCGCGACTTTTTTTCACAACGCATCATTTTCCCGCCTCTAGCCAGAGGTGTTACGTTCGCAACAAAAGTGTTACTTTTTGCTTATTAGATCTTATGTTGTTACTTTTGTTACGACTTTTGGAAAAATTTGCCAAATGTTGTTACTTTATGAATTTCAGCCAATAATTATTTAAATAAGGTCCCGTTTCGTAGGCACTCGTGCTGACTACAGAGTCGGTTTAACCGCGCCTTGTCTTGTTCATAACTCGAATTGTCGAGTTCGGCAACATTCGCCGGTAAGTGCGCCATGCCGGTGCTCTAGTTACTCGTTAGCCTTCAACTGGTCAAGATCGCTGCACTACATAATTTTCCTTGATAAATTACCGTCATAATCATGGACAAAAAGGAAAGAAATCTAAATCTAAGGAGAGAAAGAAATCTAATACTACTGTGCAATTGAAATTAGATTCGTTTTTCAGTAAAAAATAAATGTTAATTCATTCGCATTTCTTTTATTTATTTCCCCTATTATTTAGAAAAAAATATGATGAATTTTAGTGGAAAAAAATTATTATGTAACTTTGCTATTTTTGGGGATTCATTATAATTATTCCCATATATTCTTGAGTTTGATTAGCGCGGTTTTGCTTAACATGGTAAAACTCGGGGATTTATTAACCGCATTAATCAAGGGATTGCTGTATTACCAACAGCACTCCAAAGTCCTCCTCTTCATTTTTAGATGATGTAGATGTAGAATAAATGACGCTTTCTGAGATTTGTACTAGTTTTTCCTTTACTGATGAAGTTACTGTATCCACTTTTCATTAATAAAAATTATTTTTTCTGTTCTATACCAAACACTTTTAAAACCCTACAAAAAAACTTCCATGCCATTGACAACAAACTTCCCCACTGCAAGCTTCATATCAGCAGCCATATAGCATTTCCTCTGAGACTGGGCTTGTAATTTTGCACCACTTCAATTGGGTCAAGTGAATTAATCCACTATAACAAAAAAGATCCTAAAAACATACGTACCTGAAACAGAAATGAATAATTTTTGGAAAAATAAATCATAGTTGAGATTAATTGCTTTTCATTCTATGTTGCCCATTGCACAGTTCAATCTATGTCATTCTATGCACTATTTTCTGATGATACGTAATTTTTCAATTTTCATTACTCAAGTGAAATTTGTTTGATGAGAGAGGTAAATTTAATCAAAATTCAGTGCATTTATTAATTTTTTTTGTTTACCTGAGCCTTTGCTAACTAAGGTTCTGCTGTAAATGTGTTTAGGAGTGTCCTGTATTACCCCGGGGGGGGGTGATCCATAATATAGTCAAATGGGGTAAGACAGGATCGCAGCCTTCATGGGGTAAGAAAGGACCAGCCCATGGTGTGCATTCTAATTGCACTAAATTTAATTTGACAAAAGAATATGTTAGAGCAATCATTGCCTGTCATTTCAGTGTTTGTTTCAACCCTAAAAGAAACGGCAGAAACAAGTGACGCGACAGAACAGGAAGAAAGAGAGAAACCCAAGGCAATAATGTACTTCAAATTTCCGAAAGCAGCAGAACAGCCGGCAGCCGCCGTGAAGCCGCGTTACGCTTTACGATCTCTTGGGCCCGTACCCAATTAAAATTGGAGGCAGTACTAGCCGCAAAATTCTCTTTTTTTTGTGCATGTATGAAGTCCCTACGGATAAAAATAAATTCTAAGTTAGCTCAAGTTCTGAGCGGTAGCATGCCTAGGAGATAATTACGCCTAAGCACAAATATATTAAGACTACGTTAGAACTCTCGTAAGATTCTAGTTAAGGTAGTAAACTTCTTATCTAAGGAGGGAAGGTAGTAAGAGTAGGAAATGCTATGAGGACGTTAGATTCCATAAAATTTTCTAATTTCTTTGTTAGATGTGACGAGCACAGTTGGTCAACCTTTCCTTTGATTTAGGACGAACGGAACTAGAGTATTTAAGCCGGAGATAACAGTTTTAGCTGAGTTTATTCGGAGGAAATTTTATATTGGTTCTTTAGCCAGTAAATTCGGAAGAAGTAGTCTGGTGGGAAATGTATATATATGTATGACTGCATCAATTTCTTTAGAAAAGGAGGGACAAACCGGATAAGGAAAAGATAATATAATTATGCTACAAATTAGAAAAGAGTAGAGTAAGTGTGGATACATCAACAGTTGGGAATTGTAAATTTAGGACAGAATAGCAGAAAGGAGAGAAGGAGGGATGGAGATGGATAGAATTTCGTTGAGGAAGGCTAGCAGGATGTTGCGGTTGACCATACAGGCTGGGGAAACGGCCAGACCGAACTGACGCCATATACGGGCGGCCAGCGATGCCACAAATGGCTGGCCATATTATATTTTTTTTTAAGATGCACATTCATGTATTATTTAATAAGGTTATTATGAAGCGAATGGTGTAGAAAGATCCATCCTAGAATAATGCACGTCGAGATCTATACAAGTCTAAATTGCCCATGCAAAAATTGATGCAAATTTGAACGAGGAGATATTCGCGACGTTGGTTACACGGATTTTCGTTACGCTAAATTTAATTCGAATAAACTCCTTAAATTTTGTTCAGTGAAAAAAAAAATTAAGTTAGTGATACGGGGAATTATTTAATAGCAGGAATTAGATAGGAAAGTCTTTATTTCTGTTCATCTCTTTTCTCGCCTTATTGATTGAAATATTACTAGGGAAATAGATTATAGCCGGAAATTTGTTAGACATTCTATTACGGAGAAATGGTACGCCAGAAAAATTTAGACGAGTATGAAGTAACCATATTAGTTGTATAAAATTTTTGTGCGATCAGAAAGATACCTGCGATAATTAGGAGTAGACATCATCATTAATGTGCGCGATTACGAGATATTCGCGGATTTAATTTATTGTAAGATGTGGATAAATTTTCAATAAGAAGTCTAGAGTAGAACAAAACCTAGAAAAGGGATGCGGTTAGAAGGACGATCGATAATTCCGAAATAATTTTTCAGGAAAGGGTAGAGTAACGACCGTGTTGTAGGCCATTAAAATAAACGACTTTAGAAGCTACAGAGTTAAGAAAGTTTTTGTAGCAAAGTTTGTTGAGAAGACGGTTGAGAATTTCGCAGACGTTTGAATAACCCTTAACCCGTAACCTTTGTTGACAAAAGACTGGGGATTTGTTTTGAGAACAGAGTGCTTGTGTAGTATCAAGTGACGATTCTAGCTGAGGGAAAAAGAGAGGCTAGCCTCTCAAGTCGTTAAATTTAATTGCTAGGCTCTTGAGAATGAGAAGGGCAGGCTAACCGCTTGTGACGGTTGAGGATAAGGGAAATCTGAAACTCTAAACAGTGAGCAGCTTGTCTCACCGAAAAAGGAAATTCTCGACGAAGATGTAGACGGCTGTAAATAGAGCTTATCTCAGACGGACAACAAAGGAATGTTTCTCAAGGAAGTTTTATGGTTTCGGGAATAAACAATAAGTCGATAGCTAAAAGCGGATTTGAGTGCGCGATTACATAAGCTGTATATATATAACTATGAACTTAGAAGTAAGAAACTTTTAGGTTAGAGCACGACCAAAAAATTTTTTTTTTGGAATG